GAATTGCTGTGTTCGTTTACACCAAAGGCAAATAAATATTGCACTCGTCGTGGGCTGTTTCAATGGGGAATTTTCGTGGGGAACAGTCGAGCGGCAGGCGATTAATTCTGAATAAAACTTTGCGTTTTTATGGCACAGTTGGTATTTGGTATTTGCTTAATTTCATTATTCTTTACAGTTTTTCAAGTGTTCTGGGGAAAAGTTTATAAAAACATTCACGCACACCCACTCGGTATTCATTATGAAAATTTGTCTTGCGGGAAATACCGCAAAATCATTTTTTTTTGACATTAGAAAACGCTAGCGTTTTGTGGGCGTTTCATTGGCGATTTTCTGGTTCTTTACGCGGTTCTTGATTATGACGTCGATTGGGGATTTTATTTGTTTGATTATTTTCCATATCAAGGCAATGAAACGGAATGGTTTTCCATTCGTATGATTGTGTGCTGTGGAATTTGCAAAAGTTTATGAAAAGAAGAAAACATTTCCATTTTCATTTTTTTTCTTTTTTTCAACCTTAATTTGTATATTATTTAGCACATTCTATTTTTGGGGCTAAAAACACAGAAAACAGGCCACCAAAGTTCAATTGACTGCCTGTTTTTATTTATCCAGCCAATATTTGATGATGGTGCGAGATTTTATATTTGGGAGGCGTTGATGGATTTCACTGTAGATTTTTGAGTCCAAGGTAATTATCTTTCAGGTAAACATGTAAATCGCTGTGAATCACAGCGGGAAATTGCTTTAGTCTTTTTGTAATTTTTTCATTTTATTTAGACACAGATGTCATGTGATTGTCATGATTTTAAATCAAGTTTTTTAACTTTTGTTTTGTTTTTACTAGATACATATTTATCATTCTTTGACGTACACTTTAGAACTGTGGTTGCCAGTTAATTGGCCCAGTTAACTAGGTAATTTAAACGTATTATTTATTTAAATAAACTTGAATTTCGGTTTTCATTGGGTAACCAAATACGTTGTGATCGAATGAACTGCGCTCGATGACTGACTCAGAGTTTCTGACCGATGTTCGACGTTTAGGTCGCTGTTAACCTGGCTCAAATGGAAAACAACAACAACAACATGTTGCCCATGGCAATAATAAGCAGCTGAGACAGCTACAACGCAGCTGTTGAAGCGGCGCAACAAGAGCGAGTGAGAGAAAGAGAGCGCGTGCGCGCGTTTTTTTTTTTTTTGGACGCGGGGCGGTTTACATGCGGTTTCAGCCGCTTTCGCCGTTCTAGCTCTTTGTTTTTGTTGTTGCTGCCCGCCAGGTTAGTCACTAAAACCTGAACATAAAGACCGACATCGGGGTGGAAAATGATCGGCAGAGTCAGGTGTTTTCCTAGCACTTGCTGAATGCATAAATTTGAAACTGCAATTAATTTTATAAGCAGTGTAAATCGCAAAGTGATTTGACATTTTTTTTTTAAGATATAGCACTTTAAAAGCTTTTATAGTCTTAAACCTAAAATAAAATTATTGATTCGTTACGAGTCATGCAATACTAAAAAGGCCTATTGCGAAAATGTTAATTTGTTAATATAAGTCAGTAAAGGTTATAATGACAATAATTAAAAGTTTACGTCGTCATAAAAAGAAAACAGAAGTGCTGGGAGAAACACAGAAGAATATCTCCTTTCGACTCCGAATTTATATACCTTAAATAAAATATTGTTGTAAAGGTTTTTCAATATATTTGATTATACTGGAATCTTAAAACCAAAAATCATTTTGATCAAAGGCTGTGTGTGTCGCTTAGAAAACAAATGTTAAGTTTGTTTTAGTAATCGCCGTATTTCTTTGACAAATAAAAGCAATTGCTAGATTTCTTTTATAATGATGTGTTCCTCTTAACAGATTTTCTATATTTATAGAAAAGATTTACTTTAATGACAGATCAGATCCGTAGTGTATCATAAGATCGCCTAGGGCCCTTTTTTTGTCTGGGTTTTTTCAGACAACTGCTTTGGGTCATATCAATTGGCAGGTTATGTGCCTGGAGCGCAAGGTGTTTATTATTAGCAGCATTTTGGCATTTCTGACGTACTTCGGACTGCCCCGTACTATATATGTATGTAGCTCTTATTTTCGCTGCTATCAAAACATGGAAGCACAAAAACAATCGCTAGCGCACACACGCGGTTTATGTTGGATCAGCTAAATATAATGCATTTTAAAAATAAACATTCTGTTTGTCGTTTGCCATTTGTGTTTGGCCTTTGGCATTTGGCGTTTTGGGTTGAGTGCTATGCCAGTCATACTGATAAGACCACCGATGATCGCATCCGCACAATTTTAGACAATAATTTCCAGCGAAAATTACATGTCTGACGTATCTGATAGATACATTTGGCTAGCTAGTTTTGGAGGTTTTTCCATTCCCACAGCGTCAGCTGGCAAATACGTTATGTACCACGAGGGCCTTGGTAATAGAAGTAGCATATAGAGGTTGAATCGTGGTTAGTCTTTGCTCAAAAACTTAAATTACCAAACGAAATCAACCTGCCAGATAGCTAAAAGTCAAGACTTGTATTCACTTCCCATGACGATCCAATCCACTGGCCAGGAAGGAAGAGAAGTAACGTTCATTTAGCGACTCACCCCTGATCCTTGCTTTTCCCCTCTTTAATTCCTATAGCACGAGGGTTGTTTTCTTTTGCACCTGTGACGGCATGTGCCACTCCACCTTTTCAATGGAAAACCACGCTGGTTACCGCCAAAATGCCGTCAGACTAGAGTCAACCTGTTGGAACACCCGGTCAGACCAAAGTATGTCCCCGATTGCGTGTTTAAAAATGGTTTGAAAATAAGTCAAGTCACCAAAGTGCACTTGACGTGCTCTACTCATTAGCCCCCAGGTGGTTATCGTTTTGAAAATCTTTATAACTAAACTAACAAGCTTAGAAAGTACTTGCTTAGTTACTCCAACTTAATTAATTTAATTTACCCATTAGGTTACCTAAATATGTTGGTAATAAACATTACGAATTTATCAGATATAAAATGATGGATGGATTTCTAAGTACTATATCAACATGATTCGATATTAATAGATGTTATTATTGATTATCTTTGTGTTGATATTTTGATTGAAGTTTGGGAAATATTTGTGATATATGATGTAAAAAATGCAAAGCACTCTTAGGCTAGCAATGAAAAACAGATTTGGGTCACTCTTTAAGCAGTGTTAGGAAAGATCAACTGACCTTAAGCAACCGAAAACAAAATGTAATCAGGGTAATAAGCATTAACACTCCAGCAGGTGTCACATATGTGTATATATGCATACAGATCAGCAAACAAAAAGAAGCACTGTTTGCTGATTGCGGCCATGAGAAAAGAAATAGAGCATTCTATCTATGGTGTAAGAACGTGCTGGCTTGAGCAAGCAAAACAAAGCTCCAACGAGATTACTAATTTCAAATAGTATACTGTATTTTGAAAAAATATTTTATTCAATTCTGGTGTGAATTCTGGGGGGATAAGGAACGTTGTGATATTAGGGTGAATCGTACAGAGAGAAGTCAGCCAACCATAAAACTGAACAAACATTGTACTAGTAACGTACACAAAATGTGACTAATATATAATTTATTCCATAAAGGCGATTTCAAACCTCTCCCTAATAACACATGACTTGGGCATAATTAGTGGTAGATTTCCCAGTCGCTTGACAAGTTTGTGTTTTAGGGGGAGTCATCGATCAAGCGGCAACCGATAAGTGTGAGATATATCCACATGTTGTCAGCTTACCTCGATCTCCTTCTCCTCGGAGTACAGGCCACAAACGAGTTCTCGAAATGACATTTTTGCATTGAGATGGCTTTTGTTTGCCTGTGTAAAACAATTGAACTTGCAATTTGTACACGCTGTTTTCTTATTTTTTCTTTCTTTTTTCTTGTTTTATTGTAATGAGAATTTATTTATATTTATTTCAGTCACAACTGCTGACGGGGGCTCCTTGAACTGGCGTTGAACTTTTTATGGAGCAACTTTTCGCGACGGTAATTTTATTTATTTTTAATATTCACATATGAAACAAAATCAAATATTGAACAACAAAAAAACACGAACTGCGAGCGTCGAAAGTGAAACCGCCACAATGGGGCGACCAAATCGCACAAAATCGTACAAAATAATCGCGTGTTGTCAAATCGAAAATCAAACTAAATTACGAATAACCATCGGGAATTGTTAGGATGGAGATGTGGGGTGGTCGGCGGAGGAGCGAAAAGGTCAGCCGACGTCGACGCCATTAATTGCTTTAGATTGAATTAAGCCCGCGAAGCAGAGGAAACGGCGGCGGCGTCGACGCAGCCGCTCGGGAGGAGCTCCAAACGCTCGGCTTCAGTCGTGACCTACGCCCATGACGTCATTCCAACGTAGCACTTTATTTTTAGGAGGCGATTTCCGCTCTTATCACCCATGACGCGGTCGATCCCCCATATCCAGATAATACCGATCGAAGCTACAGTGTAACAATATCAGCACGGCTGTAAATACAGCAAAGTAAAACCGCAAGACGCGAAATTGGAATCGGATAGCAGAACCGTGGCCACCTATTGCCAATGCCGCACTGTGACTACTAACTAAACTCCGGGTAAACGGACAAAGGAAACGTCAATATCTGGCCCAGCGAAGTCCAGAGAGTGTCGGAGAGTTTTTGGCCCCTTATCTGGGTGGGGGAGCCCAGAGAGGAGTGTGGAGCGATAAGCTACGCGGACGCAGGTAACTTGGAGCGGCGGCCAGGTAAACTGATTTTTGCCTGCGCACAGGAACGGTTCAAAACCGCTGAGGGTTCTAATTCTTGACCGTAAATATTAAACATTTTTATAATCTTGAGAATGGGAAGGGAAGCGTTGAGTGCCATTAACTATAGATATATTTTCTATATCAATAATCTCTTTAAAGTATTATATTGCTTTCTTAAATTTAAAACCTTTGCTAAATAAGTTTCTAAATAAACGAAATAAATAAAAAATTCCACTTACCCCCAAATCTGGTTCACTGTTTGTAGCTTCTATAAGGCAATGTGAGGACGAAGAGGCCGATAGGCTGGTTCGACCCTTGTGAGATTTATGTAAATTCTGCAGGCTGGCCCATGTATCCATTGGCTGGTCGATACATGCCCCGTTTACCGAAGACTGCACACTATCGATGGCCTCAAATCCAAGGGAGTGCCGTGATCCTGGTTGACCAAAAACTTGGGCACTAAGCTTGTGTGGCGTTGTCGGCGTCTCCAAAATCAAAGATCTGCGCATCTTGCGGGGCACACAGGCTGGATGGGCAAATGTGTGACCATCATCCAGAGAAGGAGCAGCAGAATGTAGCGAGATGTCATCCATTGAGGCCACTGCGCCTAAGTGACGAGGTGAATCGTCCACAAAAAGATTCAGAACATCATCACAGGAGCGAGTGGACGTGAGATTCGTGGCAGGACTCTTGAGAAGATTGAAACTCGCCAAGATATTGGGTCGGCGCAGCGAAGAGCTCTCTGGCGGTGATGTTAAAAGAGCAGCATGATCGGGCATGGCCCGTACAGTCAGTCGGTTATCCGGGATTCCCACTATGCCCAGCGGACGAGCTGGCGCTGGGTAAGCTGGTGGCCCAGCATGTGCTCCTCCTGCTCCTCCAGCACCCAGAAAGTCCACTACTAGAATTCGATCCGAAATATTCGTACAGTCGTTGTTGAACCCAATCCCTGAATCCGAATTGGAAGTTGTAGTGGAGATCTCGCTGTGGTTCGATGGCTGCGGTGAGTGAGCAGCTGCTCCTCCAGCAGCAACAGGTCCACCCACCTCATAGTCCGCCTGATGACTTCGACTAGCCGGTGGCAGAATTCGCATTGTATACATGCTTCGCACTAGGTTCACCACATACTCCGAGTTATTGGGGAACTCTAGGCACAAATTCGAAATGGGATCCCTGGTGCACTGCAATCGGAACTCATGGGCCCGCTGCAAGTGCTGGGCATGCTCAATCAGTTTGGTGTCGATCACAAAAACATGGCAGCTGTGCGAGATGCTGATGTGGCCAGCAGCTGCACCGCTGCCAGCACTAGGCTCGTACTCCTCCTCGATCTGGGTGTTGTGCACAGCGCTGGTCACTAAACCAAAGAAGCGATTCTCACTCTCCGACGAAGAGCTCACAAAATTGAGCCTGGCCGAGGAGTACGTGGCCAACACTCCACCACTAGCGCTCTGTAGGCTCAAGCTATCTGGAGTGATGCACATCAGCACTATGGTGGGTTGTCGCTTTTCCTGGCGGAGCTTCCGTATACACGACCTCACAGTCTGGAGCTTGGAGCTATGCGAAATTTGCTTCGGCATCTCAATAGTTCCTAGATAGCCCACAATAACGCGATATTCTAGTGCAGCACTGCCCACAGCCCGCACCATTGCACTAACATTAGCCACATCCGCTGCTTTGGATAGATTGGCTGTTAGAGGAGCATCCTCCAAAACCGGTCTTAATGTAAGATGATCAGGTGATGACTTTGATTTCTGGGGTTCCACAGCCTCTGGAGGGTTTAACTTCTTCTGGGGCGAGTTACGCAGTCTGTGAAGTTTCGCCTTATGGTGAAGAAACCTTGGCTTGTGCCTCAAACTGGCGGCCAGAAGTTGGCCCCGCAGCGTAGCGTGGGCGTTTTCCTCATCCGAGCTGTCCGAGTAATAGTTCTCGGCAATCTGCATTCGTATGCTGCCAAAAGAGTTGCCTATTAGCTGGACCACGGTTTCGTGTGGCAACTTGGAGACATTCAGACCATTGACAGAGATGAGAAAATCGCCGGATCGTAGGCCAGCTTGTTCAGCTGGAGAGCTGCTGATGATGCAGGATAGCCGGCAAGGTTGCTGCCCAGAGATGGTAAAACCAAATCCATTGTAACCACGTCGCACTTCCACAGTGCGGATGCCATTGTAATTGTAGTTAGGACGCTTCTTGCGACGTCGCTGGTGTTGTTGGGTGTTCGATCCCGAGGGCGTGGTTGAGGCTGTTATGCTGGAAGATCCAGTGGCCACAGCAGGTGCCGGATCCTCAGCTACAGCTGCTCCCGTACTTGCTGCCGTGGAGCCACTTGCTCCTGTTATGGGCAAAGGCGGATGATGGTGATGCATGGCGCTCTGATCACTGGTGGGAAAATGAACAATGCTAAATGGAAACTACAAGCCAATCTTAACCCAAATCTGGACATACGCATACCTTTCTCATGGATGGAAGCTGCAACCTGGATTTCTGGAAATGGAATGCGGTTTCTGTTGCTGCCCCTTTTCGGATGATACCCCCTCTCGCTCGCACCTGTGCGTCGCCTAAACCAACTATGTAATCAATGGCACACACACAGACGCACAAACTGCCAGGCGTATTTTGTTGCACTTTTCTAGGCCTTTATTTACTTGTTTGCCAACTCGCCATTGGGTGGATCCTCATCCTTACACAGTTAATGACTTCGTCTTTACTTTTTCAGACATATTTGTAGCAATTGAATACGTTTAATATGATAATTAAAATTTGTGTCTAGCCCACAACGCGCAAGCGTAACTATGATGTTTTTACGATGTTATCGATATATTTACAATGTTTATAAACATCGATAGTGTTTAGTTGAGTATTCAACCCTAAATGCTTAACCAAGACACGAACCACACAGTGTTGCCAGAAATCACCAAGCTAAGTTTTGGATCAGTTAGCTTTTGTCATTTAGCGATTCCGTCGGTTACTTTTCGATTTAAAGGAAAGCTCTTAACGCTCGTCCTTTAAAGTCCTTCTGGCGAGCTTCCATCTGCGTAGAATATTATTTGTGTTTGGCCCACGCCGTTGGCCACCATTTCAGTTACATTGGGACTTTCAAACGAATTGGTTGAACGCGCGCATTCAGAAACGCTGCGAAAGTGTTGAAATTAATTTTTGAACCCGAAATCAGCAGTTAAATGGCTTGAGTGAAATATAAAGTGTTATTGGACATCAAATCGAAGTGTTCGAAGTTGTGGTGGAAATATGGTTAAGGATTAGCCTAAGCAAGGCCTGCATAAGTGACCCAGTGAGCCAGTGTTGGACCAAAGACATGTTGGCAAGGACATTACGGACAAAGAATTGTGCCAATAGAAGAATGGGGGATGTTGCGGAAACGGAAGTGCCAAATTGAAATGCCATTTAAGCCAGGCGAGCGGCGAGCGATTTGCCCGACTTCGTTTACGGCTCATCCGGATTCGTCTGGTCTGGTCAGAGCACTCAGATTTCTTTAAGGGAGGGGCATTGGTGGAAAGTAGTACGGGGTTGGAGAAAAGTGCGATCCCCAGACGGCACTTGGCGTCGTTCTTGACATTGATTATATTCATGAGGCCAAGTCATAAATTCCAGCCCGACTGTTTACGAGGATTCTGCTCCACTCCCCCGATCCCCAAAGATGTTGCTAGCGGAGTGCCAATAAAATCATTAACTGTTGCAGCGCATTAAATTCATGGCCCAGACGATGCTGCCGTTATTCAGGCAGCAAACATTGTCATAAAACCTCGAACCCCATTCACGGGCATATTTCATCTCGATTCGATGGCCCACCTACATCCACCATCCACCATCCACCATCCACCTCTTCTCCTAATTGCCGAAGGTCCTGAGTCCCGAGGGCGTGTGAAAAACTATTAAAAGGCCGTTGGGCCAAGCATCCTGGGCCATAATTAATGGCGACAATGACTTGATCGGCCGATAATTAATTTATCGTCATTTATATTGCCAAACTGGCACACACACATGGTCACCGGTTGACGATCCCCCGGGAGCTCGTAAATTGTCCAGAAGTTTGGATTCCTCTCAGTTACTCCATCTCCTTCTTCTGTAATTGAGTTTAATTTCTGGGCCAGCGAAAGTTTTCTTTGGCAAGCCAACTAAACCCAACCAAGTTTCAGTTCAGTTTGCTCTATTGTATTATCTTGGCTTTGGCTTTGGCTTTGGCCCGCACATGTTTCCACATAGTTTGGGCCACAAATTAGTTTGGCAGTGGATTTGGCTGGCCACTCGGCTACTAAGCATTTGCATTCCATTCGACAGACTTCCCCCACTGTTTTGCCAAAAACTATTTTCCTACTAAAAAGTTGCCAGAAAAGTTTCTAGTTGGCGACAAAGAAATCAATTGGAAATGATTGAAACCTAATTTCCCAAATGGACTGAATACATAAATCAATAATTTAGGTGTTTTCGAAGGTGGGCATCGTCAGAAGCACCTAGCTCATTAGTTGGCAGTTAAATGTATTTAAGGGTTAATAATATCGATCCATTTGATTTTCGATTAAGGGAATGCTTCTCCACATTTCATGTTCAAATGCATTTATTAATGTTCCTATTGTTTGGCAGGTACTTCATTTAATGGCCATTAATGAGAAGCTATATTTGTATTTATTTATGGATTTGATTTGTTAGTCCAACTACTAATCCATTAAGGAGAACTGTTCCTTTCTTTTAAAAATAAAAGTTTGCTTAAGAAATAAACTAACCAATAGAAATTATGTTTATCGAATGAAATGTCTTTACAGTTTTTATATACAGTACGCATTCAATTAAAGTGCATAAAACGTCACACTTTGATTGAATTTTTTCAATATACGTATTTACACTTGCTGACATCTCGCATTTATGGGAGATCAAATTGTAAATCTCCCCTATGCCATCAATATTTCAGCAAAAAAATAAACGCTTTCGCTTCAGTGGACCGTACTGAACTGTTAAGGGCAGTAGAACTATGCTGATAGGTAGCTTTATAGGAATATCTATATCGACTGTCCCATCTGATGGACATCCCCAATCGCCTCGATTAGGTTATTATGCTGTAACTTTCTCGCAATCTTTTTGTTGGGAAATTAATAGGAAAATACGCGAATTTCATTGGAATCCTCGAAAGCTCCAGCCCTTTTTTTGATTCCTTTGGGTCCATCTTTTTCTCTCTGACATCATGAAACATACTTTGTTGGCCTTATAGCCAACACTTTTTGTGGCCCTAAGTCGGCGTCCTTGTCTTGATTTCAGAAATTGTTTTTACCCACATTTCACTTGTTCGCCAAACTTTCTGCATTGCGCGGGGTAAAAAATTGACACAATTTAAACTTTTCTATAAACAAAAGCAATGCAGAGCAGCCAAACAGAAAAGGTTAGCCAAACGAGCCATTTGTTCCTGCTGCTGTTTACTTTCTTTTTTGCCCTTTTTTCCTGAATTTTCCCCTCCATTTTTAGCTGCTGTGGTTTTTCTTTGGTTTTTTTTTGCTTTGCCAGTTTATTACATCACACGCACACACACAGGCGAATGCTGCCGGGTTTTTGAAATTTGTCAAAGGGAAAGGCAGCCCAAAACTCTCGGTTTTGTGCTTTATTTTTCCGCTTTTGGTTTCTCAATTTCCTTTAAATTGCGCACATTTGAAACAATTTGCCATCAACTAGCGCCCACACATGCACTTTTATTTCTTTTTTTTTACAACATTCTGCTGCATTCTGCGGCTTGGCAGAGATTTATGCAGGCTTTTCATAAAGCTGACAACATGACGTATGATTAATATCGCTGCCTGTTTGCTGGATTGTTATTTTGCTGCATTTAATTAAATCTGCGAGAGATGATTAAGTGCTCATTTCGCAAGCAAACCAGCCCTCAAAAGTGTATATATAAATTGAAGTACTTACCTACATGAATATGGTATATTGCTATTTCTGGGCTCCAGCTCCTTGACAACTAAGAGTAATTGCTATTGCCACTAAAAATATAAACAAGGAGCACTAAAATTATACCAAGTGCCGGCAAGGACAAAAATGCATACTCGTATACTATATACATGCGACATGTTCTCAATAAATTTGTGCATTTCATGACAATGACGTCGCAGGCGATGCGTTCCGAGGACTTTCACTATATATATATATAATATATTTTATATGGGTGTGAGTTTGTGCCTGGTTGACATTTCTTGGCCTTTTTTGCTCTGCCATATGTGCGAAAATGCCAACGTTCATAGCAATGCAATTAATAAGGATTGCTGCTGCTGGGACAGACTTTGTATTTAAAATGATATATGCAAAATGGATTTTGTTTTTGGCCATTTAATAAACGATATTGACGTTTTATTGCATTCATTTTGATAATCTAGCTAAGCTCAACTAAGCAAACTGTCACAAAATGGTTTACAATAAAGAGATTTAAATTGAATTTTTTTTATATGCAATTGAAAATCTTTAAACTGATTTTATTTTGTATAAATTAAATGCTAAATAATTTGTAGATCATTACTTAATATTGGCTATTATTTATTCTGTTTTTAAAAGCAATATTATTTTAGCTATCGTTTCCCTTATTATTTTAGTATTTACTTAGCATCCCGAAACGAGCAGCTTTCAGTTTTAATTGATACAAACGCTTTATTTACATTCCATTTTTTTCGCCTCTTCATTTCACTTTCAATTTGTATTTATAGGCCAACAGAGTTCTCTTCCATTTTATTCATTTTTCCTCGTTTTTATGCAATATGAATTGCGGACGCCAATTAGAGTGACATTTTATTGTGCCTTTGTTTTGTTGCGGTCCGTTTTTAATTACACGTTTCACGTTTATACTTTTAATTACGGCTGCTAATTAAAGATGCCAGCTAAGTGAAACAATTTCCGGCTTAGATATTTGAAATTGCAGAAAAGGAGGAGTCGAAGGTTTAATCATTTCGACTGGCATTACTACCGAGAACCTCAGTCTATTAGTATGATATCCTTGGGGCTTATCGCAGTCTTATTACCAATTCGGTAGCTCTGTCTGCCCTACTTTTATGCTTGATTAATGCCCGAGATGTGCATTGGATTGCGCCGGGATCTCCGGCTAAGACAATGGCGAAAGGAGCTTGGAGCTTGGAGCACGGAGCCCATTGATTTGTGCCACCTGGCTGGGGAAATGGCCTCGGTTTGCCCAGCGGAGACGCATCGTAAATCATCAAATGTGAAAGTCGTGCTGGCAGTTACCAACCACCCCTCCCACCTAATTTTTCCTGGTCTTTCCTAAGGTTCTTCATTTTTTTTTCTCTCTGACCCAATCCGGCGATTACCACCGAACTGCCGGTAGCGATTTTATGGCTCTTTTTTTATTTTGGCAGCAGAAAGTTTTTCCCTTCGATTCGTTGTTCGTTATTGGTTACAATTGGAAAGTTGGCTGACTCTTTATAGGCAAATTTCTTTTTTTCCATTGCCAAAAGGTGTTTGGAGGGCGAATCATAAAAAAAGTTTGCTCTCCTTCCTTATCCGCATTCGCTTCCTTTTCTCATTCTTCTTCTTCATCATCATTATTATTATTATTTTTATTATTATTCTGCTTGCTTTTCATACACGTACAACAACGGAAACATTCATTCACGCGAACTAATGAAGTGTCAAAAATGGGCGCCCCGAAAAGTGTGCTACGCTTTTCTTGCTTTTTAAAAATATTTTACAGTCGGATGGGTGAGAGTGTGTGGGTGTGTGAAGGTGGGCGCCCTGTGACCTTGGACTGTAACTATGAGTGAGTGCCGACTAAAATAGCTCCATAATGCCGAGGCGGGCGGTCCATAAGTGTGTG